TGACTGACGCCAGGGACACGCCCCAACTCTGCAGAGCCAAGTGCGGCTTGGACGGGGCAAGGAAGCGCCCGGAGCAACGTCAGCCAACACAATCTGCAACTCACGCTGGCCGCGGACGGCGAGACATTCTGCTACGACGACGCAATGCGCTTGCTGGGAGGATCTGGCGGAGCGACCGCTGGGTGCTGAAGCTTCCCAGGCATGCAACGCCCTGTTTTTTTCAATGCCGGGTCCCCGGACGTCTCGTCCCTTTCCCCAGGGCCGGCTTGTCATCCCGAGCCATTTTTCACAGTCCCAGGGCGGGGCAGACAACTGCCAAAAACCTCTCGTCGTGCTTTCTGAGAACGACGCGAGCACGTCTGGGTGGGGACCTGCTTGCCTTGATGGAGAAGCTGGCCGCGAACCGGCCGGACCTATGTGCTGGGCGGCCTGGGCGCAAGCGGCAAGCAGGGTGCAGCATAGCGTCGCTGCCGCTGGCGCTCTGGAGGCGGCTACACGCAAGAGTGAACCCTAGGCGTGAATGACCTTTGGTGCGCGGTTTTCGGGAGGCGCACGGGGGTGAGGGGGGGAGGCCCAAACCCAAGCGCATAAGCCGCCGCTACCACCTCGCATTCAGCGATCGGAGTACTGTAGCTGGCCAGCACCGAAGGTCACTCTGGTGAAGTGTCACTCCTATAAGCAGACGATGGAGGCGGTCCCGCAGATGCGCGCGGCGCTCGAGGCAACGCGCGCTGCGCTGGCGCACCAAGGCGCTGAGACTGCCCCAGAGCAGAGAGCAGAGCGCGCCAGTGTCTGCCAGGGCGGCGGGGCCTCAAGGCTGACGCGGGCGAGCGAGAGCTCTCATTTGTAGTGGTGGATGTTCTCGACCGTTGGCGCTGTGTGTCATTTCGGCTGTAGGGATGCTGCTGCTGAAGGTGCTCCGTTTCGTGATATCCTGCAATCGTGTGGAAAAAGAAAATGGCAATTGCGCTCGCCCATCATAAGAGAACTCGCTACTTGGCCAACCCGCCGGTGATTTCCCGCAGAATCCAAACCATTTTGCTTCTCGCACCGGCAGCGCCCGGCAGAACCGCTGCGCGCTGGAGAACGTGCACTGGCAACGCCTCATGCCGCCGCCGTTTTTAGCTGGTGCGGCTGGAACTCTCGCGCGGGGAGCTGGCGCGGGCCTCCGCGGCCTGCTGCACCCAGGCCCCGCTTGACGCAGACGGTCCACGCTGGCTGGCGGGTCGTATGTAATACACCGCGGCGACTCGAACTATTTCGTGCTGCCTTGTGTTACAGAAGAGACAAAGGAAGAGGTGGCAATTGCGCTCGCCCGTCATAAGGCAAGTCGCATTGTAGCCGCTATGCCGGTGAAATTTCGCAATCCAAGCCACGTCTCGGCGACTTGGAAAGGGCGCTGGGGAACCTGGCAGGGAGGTGGTTGCACTGCGCCCCTCCAGACTGCGGGAATGCAGTGGGAGAGAGAGGCAGATAGAGAGAGAGAGAGAGAAAGAAAGAGAGAGAACAAAACATGATTGACCCACGAACCCGGAAAGGAATATGGAAATGTAAGGCATGGCAACGTTTCAAATACACCTGATTGGGCGACGGGCAAACGCAATGCTGAGTGTATCGATATTGATGCACCGTGCCGAGGGCTGTGTTGTGCTGTGCCGTGCTGAACTGCGATGTGCCATGCCGCGATTGTGCTCTATAGCGTTGTGGATCGAGTCCTCCTTTGCATCCGAGTCCTGACCGAACTGATCTGGATCTTAAGCGCGAGCTGCCTCAACACATAGTAGCTGCCCCAGAGCTAATTGACAGGGGGACATGCCAGGAGGACGCGCCGCGGAACGTCCCAAGGGACGCCCCAGGCGACGTGCCAAAGGACGTGCCACGGGTACGCACCGCGGGACGTGCCGAGGGGACGCGCTACGCAACGTGCCAATGGACGTGTCACGGGACATGCTAAGGGACGCGCCGCGCGACGTGCCAGGGGGACTCGCCACGGGACGCGTCACGGAACGTGCAAGGAACGTGCCAAGTTGCAAATTACGCAGAGTTCGCGCTCCCACTGCCGCGATCCCTCGTAAAATACACTGGGGTCGCGCTCCCAAGGCCATGATCCTTCGTAAATTACGCTGCGTCCGCGTTCCCAGGGCCACGATCCCTCGTACATTACACTGGGGTGGCGCTCCCCGGGCCCCGACCCCTTATAAATTACACTGCGTCCGCACTCCCAGGGCCACGATCCCTCGCAAATGACGCTGCGTCCGAGCCCCCAAGGCCCCGATCCCTCGTATTTTACGCTGCGCCCGCGCTCCAAGGGCTACGATCCGTTGTAAATTAAGATGCGTCCGAACTCCCAAGGCCCCGACCCCTCGTAAATTACGCTGCGCCCGCGCTCCAAGGGCTACGATCCCTCGCAAATTACGCGTGGTCCGCGCTCCAAGCGCCACGATCCCTTGTAGATTACCCCGCGTGCGCGCTCCCAGGGCCTCCTGGGGCATGCTGGGGCGCCCAGGTCCCTCAAGTTTTGCAAGACAAGCGTTTCGCTCGAGACATCCTCGATGTTTTGGCGCGGGGGGGCGCGCCATCCTCGAGCGGGCACGCAACAACTCAACATTTTCACGCTTTCCGCGCCGCGTTGGACTTCACTGTGTTTTTGTTCCTAACCATCCTGTGGTGTTGGGTCCACGTTTTGAAGAGACAGCGCCCCGCGTTCACTCCTCCTCCCGGGCTTTCTGCACGGGCGTCCAGAGGGCCCCAAGGCCACAGATCTGGGGGGTCCTGTTTGGTAGGGGCTGCCCCCCCCCCCCCCGACTGTATGTGTTAGCATATATATATATATATATGTGTATGTATGTATGTATGGATGTATGGATGTATGGATGTATGGATGTATGTATGTATGTGTGTATGTATGTATGTATGTATGTATGTATGTATGTATGTATGTTTGTATGTATGATTGTTTGTATATGTATATATATATGTAGACATATAGAAATATAAATATTCAAATTATGTACACGTATACATATACACTGACATGCATGTGTGTGTTTTTCAAATGCGTGCGTGTGTATCGGAAGTTGGGCGGTGAGATCGAAGTGGAACGGAGAGCCCCCCGCCGGGAAATCGGTTTCGGTTTCGTGTTCCTGCGCGCCGCGCGTGCGGGTGCGGCGAATCTGCGTGGAAGGGCGAGAGGAAAGTCTCATCTGGCTGAGGCGCGGCCGGACCAAATGATTCTCCCTCCGGCGAACGGTGGCGCGCGGTGTCCCGCCGGTGTCCCGCTTGTGGCTGGGCCCCGGCTGGCCAAATGATTGTCCCTCCGGCAAGCGGTGGCGCGCGGTGTCCCGCCGGTGTCCCGCTGGTGTCCCGCCGGTGCCCCGGTGTCCCACTGGTGCGGAAACGATACTGAGACCGATAACGGAATCGATTGTGAGACCGATATTGAGATCGATAGTGAGAGAGATAGTGATATCGATCGTGATACCGATCGTGGGATGAATAGTGATTTCGATTGTGAGATCGAGTTATATCGATAAGGGGATCGTTCGTCGGATCGATAGCGGGATCCAGAGTAGTATAATGAGATCGATTGTGAGATCGAGTGAGATCGATCGAGTGAGATCGATAGTGGGATCGATGGCCCCATCGATCGTGAAACCGTTAACGACATCGCTTATGAGACCGATAGGGAGATCGATAGTGATATCGATGGTGAGATCGATCGTGAGACTGGTAACGACATCGCTTGTGAGATCGATAGAAAGATCGATCGTGAGATCGATTGAGTGGGATCGACAGTGAGATCGATCGAGCGGGATCGATAGTGTGATCGATCGGGTGAGATCGATTGTGAAAGCGATGGCGGAGTCCATTGTGAGATCGATTGAATGAGACGATGGGTCCTCCCCCCCCTCAGCTCTCTTACCATCCAGGGATTTCGGCTCAAGGCTTCTGTTACACTCGGTACGCGGGGGGGCCGCGAACGCACCCACTTCGGTCACGCACTCCCTTCGGCTTCGCTACGAAGGGCCAGGCTTTGCCAGCCGAAATCTCGACAAGAACGTGGAGACGCTGAAGAACATGAACACCCAGACGGTCAAGTTGCCACTGTTGCAACAATCACCACTGTTGCCCATTCCTGGCCCCCCTCCCCCCCCAACCTCCTCATCGCCCGCAGGGTGGTCGTATGGGTGTGTATACATATATATATATATACATATGTCTGTGTGTGTGTCGCTTGTAACGGTCGGTGTGTGTCGGGCCAGCTCGCCCCTTGCGAAACAATAATTTGGCCCCTTCCGACGCATCGAGCCCAAGATGCGCTCATTTCTATGACAGACTCCTTGCGTTTTTTCGCCTTCCAGGCAGAGCATGTGTCCAAGTACGAGGCCGGGGGGGGCTTTGAATGGATTATGCCCCCCCCCCCCCCTTGCGCTCGCCCCCACCCTCCCCCCATGGGCGCCCGCCCGAGCGCGGTGGCGGTATCGCGCGGCGGCGCCACTGGATATATGGATAGGGAGGTAAAGTGGCAGAGGGGGAGGGAGAGGTTCGCAAAACAAAATACAGGATTTGGGTAGACAGGTGAAGCGTCACAGGAGTGGAAGAGAACACGTTGGAACAAGGGTGCAAAATATGTGTGGGTGGTATAGTTGACGGAATTGTTGTGCGCCTTGGCGCGGAACCGGTAGCCGAGTCTGTCACAAGCAGGAACGTGGACGCATTCTATGCCCCTCGTGAAGAATTACCGCTTGAACATGTCAGCCTGAAATGTTTCGCAATGTCACTGCCCCGCTCATCCTGCTCCTGCTCATCATTCCCCGCTCATCCTGCTCCTGCTCATCCTGCTCCTGTTTCTGCTCCCTCTCCTCCACCTCGTCCTCCTCCTCCACGTTATGTCCTCCCGTCCCCGTCCTCTTCCAGTCATTGATCCAGGCCTTACCAAGTCTTACCAGCTTCCACGGAGCTAGTGTAGTAGAGACCCAACGTCGTTATCACCCCTCGCGGCACCTCTGAGATGACCCTCGTAACTCTTTTTGGCGAAGCCGCTTGCATCACGGCTAATCCTGTCTCTCTTATACAACAGACTTTGGAGGAACAGGGGAGGGGGGGTAAGAGGACGACCCGTTGAGAAAGGGACGTTGCCTCTGCTGATCCGCGGGGAAAGGGGCACAACAGACAGACGGTGACAAGTTCAAACGAAGACGAAGTGCTAGATCACACGTAACAGAAGCTACGGGATAGCAATCTTGACCAATGTGCTGAGACCTGCCGTGCACATCCCTGATCGAAGCCGACAGCAATGAGTTGGCTCTGTGTGGGACTCATCTGCTGGACAAAGCTTCTTGTTCTGCACCATTGCTGGCTTGCCACAGAGGATCACCAGTGATCAAAGATATGACGCTCACCCAACCCGCCACTCCGTCTGCGCTGATCTTGATCCGCTTCCCTGTGCATCCAGACCCAAGTGCAAGCACCTCTTGAACAGCCAGCAAGTCATTGTTACTTCCCCCTCCTTCCTACCAATATTGCTGTAGGAAGGGTGGGGAAGAGCATGTGAAATACGAAGAGGAAGGCAACAATCGGGGTAGGATCACAGCGCCCAAGGCCATGATTTGGAGAAGTCGCCCTCAAGAAGCCATGACAATGTGAACGCTGGGCCAGCCTGGGCCAGCCATCAAGCCTCTGAAGAAACGCTGGGCCAACGCGAGCAGGGGTGGGTGGTTTCTGAATCATCGGAACACTTGTAAGTTGCTGCCTTTGACCTTTGCCTGAGTTCCGGGCGGCAAGGTCCCGACGAGCGCGCTCTCGACGGGGTCCATGGACTCTTCCTTGCGCACGACCACGTACCCAGGGCACTTGATGAGCATGCCGCTGCGGTAAGACGCATTTGGCAGCTGGGGGCCGATCTCTCGATACTGCTCGGTTTCGACGCGCGGACTGGAATGCGCAGTCGGCTCGTCCGCCTCGCCGAAGCACGCTCCGAGATCGGACTCACCAGTGTACTGCACTTCGGGGCCATCAGGACACTCTGTCTCGCTGGAGTGCCCTCCGTTCGCATCTTGACAGTCTGCGACTTCCAGCTCCCTGGCCGACTTCGCGAGACCCTGCCCCATCTTGGCCAGGTCTGGACACTGACAGGTCATGGCGTTTGCACAAGGTCGGCGCCGGTGCGTGCGGGCTTGGTCCTGGTGTGACACCCCCCTCGGCTCGGCCTCTCGCCACAGGAGTATGCCTCTCTGGGAGGCAAGGCTGACCCAGCCAGCAATGGTGCCCTCGCGGAGGCTCCCAAATGGGGTCCGAGTAGATGGGCTCGGAAGATCGCGCCGCATCGTGGACGTGCATTGGCGACGTCGGCGATGCATTGGCACCATCGGCGTGGAGAAAGTCGGGCTCCACATCCAGCCGCCTTGCAAATGCATCAGCGATGCATCGCGATCCTCCGACCCCATCTACTCGGACTACATCTGGGAGGCCCAGACCTCGAAGCCGAAGGGTGTCTTCATCACCGCCTCCGGATGCCCGAGCGCTGCCCCGCCGCTGCGCATTCGCACCCTGAGCCGGGTCCCGACGCCCTCGTCGCCGGCGCCACTGCTCGGGCAGACGTCCAACACCTCCACGACGGTGTCGACATCCACGTCGGCTACGATGGCGCTCGACAGGGCCTGGCCGCTCCTCATTCGGACCGGTCTCTGGCACTCGAGAAAAGCGCCCGGCTCGGGCTGCCAGAACGTGACTGGTGGGCCGCAGGTGCCAGGCTCGGGGAGGTCGCTGGCCTCACTGTCACTGCCCACGCTGCTCCCAGCGCTGGAGCCGGTGTCGCTGTCGCTGCTGGACCAGCCGCAGCCCCGCCGAGACCAGCGTCGGCTGCGTCGGCTACACCGTGGCCCAGGCGGCGCCGCCGTCGCCACAGCCAGAGGGCTGCTCCAGCGGACCCTGCGCGACCTCTCCTGGGGAGCATGGATCAAGCACCCGGTGCGGGGAGAAACGACATGTTCCGAAAATGGAACGCCCTGGCGGTGCCAAATTCAAGCCGGGAGGGGGTGGGCAGGGAAGGCAGGATGAGGCAATGGAGCTCCAAAACGGATGGAAACTGAAAGATACAAGTGGTTTGATTCTCCGCGTCACAATGACCTTTGACGAGCCAGCGATTGCTTTGAAGGCTAGCCAACTGATAGAAACAATTGGAACGAAGCGGCTTCGACTGTCCGAGGGAGCGCGATCTACAGTCGGTTGACCGGTAAAAGATACCCCCCCCTCCGGGAAGCTGGGGGGGGAAAGGGAGGTCAAAAAAAATCCCCCCCCTTTCCCAGGAACGGGGGGTGGCAGGCGGCCCTCCCGGGAAACCGGAGAGGGGAGCGCTTTGAACCGGCTCTCATGGAATCCTGCTGATAGGGTTGGGTCCAAGTCTATGGGAATGTTATCAGGAGTCGATGCAGCTCTGAAGGAATCCTACAAAGGGTAGATCCAGCTCTCGCACAAACCCACTAGGGTTGGCTCCAGCTCTTCTGGGATCCTACAAAGGCTTGGTCCAGTTCGAATCAAATCCTGATAATAAGGCTGGGCCCAGCTCTACTAGAACCCGATTAGGACTCGATTCAACTTTACAAAAACCCACCACGGGCTAGATCCAGACTAACAGGATCCTACCTACACGACCACCCTTCGGGTGAGAAGTAGGTTCGGGGTGAGAGGAACCAACGTCTCACTCACTCGCTCAATAGCTCTGTCGATACTACTATCGCTCCCACTATCGATCTCACGATCGCTCCCACTATCGATCTCACCATCGATCCCGCTATCGATCTCACTATCGATCTCGCTACGGGACACCGAAGAGCACCGACGGGACAACGTATCGATCTCACTCAATCGATCTCACAATCGATCTCACAATGCATCTCACAATCGATATCACGATCGAGCTCACCATCGATCTCAATATCGATCGTACCATCGATCTCGCTGTCGATTTCACAATCGATCTCACTATCGTTCATACTATCGATCTCGCTGTCAATCTCACTAAACACACGGCCGATCTCACTATCACTATCGATCTCACTGTCGTTACCACGATGGATCTAACTAGCGTTCTCACTGTCGTCCTCGATATCGAACTGAATCTCTCTGTCGATCTCACTATCGATCTCACTATCGATCTCAATGTCGATCTCACTACCGGACACCGATGCGACACCGACGAGACATCACTATCGACCTCACCATCAATCTCACTCGATCGATCGCACCATGGATCTCACGGTCGATCTCAATGATAGCCTTACGATCGGTACCACTATCGATTACATTATCCTTCTCATGTATCGATCTCTCGGTCGATCATATTCTCGACCTCTTTTTCGATCTCACTATCGATCTCACGATCGACCTTACTATCGATCTCGCTATTGATCTCACTGTCGATCTCACCATCGTTCACAAGATCGGTCTTACTATGGATCTCACTACCGATATCGCTGTGGATCTCACTATCGATCTCACCATCCATCTTACTTCGGGACACGTACGGGGCACCGACGGGACACCAATCGGGACACCACCGCGACACCATCGGGAAACCATCGGGAGGGACCCCATCGGGAAACCAGCGGACCACCAAAACACCATCGGAACACCATCGGGACACCGCGGGACACCCCGGGACACTACGGGACACCAAAGGACACCAACGGGACACCACGGCGGGACACCCCAGCCACCGCCAGCCAACCAGGAGGAGGGGCAGTCTTTTGGCCCGGCGGTGCCCTAGGTTCATTCCTCTCGCCCGCCCACCAGCTTCGCGTCGCCCGCACGCACGACACGAGCACGAAACCAAAACCGATTTCCGGGTGGGAGGGTCTCCGTTTTACTGCGATTCACCCCGTCAACTCGGAGTAATGCTCGATCCATCTCTCATAGGGTCCTACTATGGTCTGCACGCAGCTCTTCTAGAATCCGATTAAGACTCGATCCAACCTTAATGCGTCCATACTCATGCTCGAACTCACTGTAATAAAATCCTACATCGCCTAAGCCAGCTATAATAGAAACCTACTAGGGCTGGATCCAGCTGCCAGCTGTATTGGGACCCCCTGGTCTGAACCGGGGGGGGAAATCTCAACTCCTCCCCCCCCCGCCTTCCCCCCCCAGCGAACCGTTGAACTGGGAAAGGTCTCCCCCCCCCTGGTTCGGAGTGGGAGGCTGTTTTGCCCCTGCCCCCCCCGGTTCGAACCGTTGGGGGGGCTTGCCAGTAGCGGCAGACAGCGTTTTTTTGAATGTCCCGAGGCAGACCTCATCAAACTATTTTCGGGGCTTCCGAAGGCCAAAATGCAAGGCCGAACGACAACACGGGTTCAGTTCGGCGGCTGCCAGAAACAATGTGGCTCCGGCGCACAGATTGGGGAGTGGCCAACACGATTGGCCGAAACCAAACACTGCTTGCTCTCGAGATTGACTACGAGAAGCTCTCTGGGAAGGGATACAGTGCCAACTCCCTGGAAAAACTGTCGAGGAAACGACGGTCGGGAACTCTTGCGTAACGTAACGCGGCGGCCTCAGCGACATGCTATGCCCTGCAAGCGGATAGTGTGTCGCTTCAGGACCTTGACGCTCGGGAACCTGGGCGTGAATAGCGTTTCGCGACGTAGCGCGGTGGGCCAGAACTGGCTGCGCGACACGCTAAGCCAAAGTCCCAGACCGTCGCGGAGGAGGACGATTGAAAAAGTCCCCCCCCGTCCCGTTCGCGAGGTCGCACTCGTAGCGTGTAGGGCGGACGAATACAATCTGGGGGGCGCAAATATCTATTCAATCCGCACACCCCAACCTGATTTTTGTGGACGTCGCGTTGGCCGTCGACATCCCGTCGGTCGTCATCCCGTCGTCGTCGTCATCGTCATCGTCGTCGTCTGTCGTCGGTCCTTCGCCGTCGGTCCTCGGTCGTCATCCCGTCGTCGACGTCCGTCGTCGTCGACGTCGTTGTCTTCGTCTTCGTCGTCGTCGTCGCCCCGGGACTGCAAGACGCCCACGCAGCCACGCAGCACACCCTCCACACACGTATGCCATCCCATCCTGAGCTCGCCGTTGCCATCGTCGTCGTCGTCGCCCCGAGACTGCAAGACGCTCACGCAGCACCCCCCCCATACTTATGCCATCCCATCCGAAGATCGTCGATGCCTTCGTCGACAATGTCGTCGTCGTCCCAGGACCGCAGGACGCCCGCGCAGCCCCCCCTATGCCATCCGCAGTCCGCCGTCGTCGTCGTCGTCGTCGTCGTCGTCTCGTCCATCGGGGCTGCAGGAAAATCTGCCGACCCCTTGGGGTCGTCGGCGTGTTAGATGCTTCCCCCTCCCCAAACCCCTCCCCCCGGGGCCCGGTCCGGTCGGTTTGGAGGGGGGGGGGTCCGGCCAGCCCCGGCTGAACGCGTCACGGGACTCACGACGGGCCATCAGGGCCCCAAGAGGTCCACAAGATGGTCGAAAGGGCCCCGAGTCGCCGATGGATCGTTCCAAAACGCCCAAGATGGCCCCCAGACGGCCCAAGAGACCCCCGAGACGCCCCGAGGCCCCAAAGAGGCGTCCCAAGAGGGCCCATTTTTTAGCACGTTCGCATCTTGGGCTTTCACAACGTCCAAGGCGGCCCAAGTCTCCAAGATCGCCCCAAGACGGCCCAGAAGCCCCCATAAGGTTCCAAGACGGCCCAAGAGGGCCCCAATACGGCCCAAGGGCCCCTGAGACGGCTCCAGGAAGGGGCCCAGGCGGAGGACCCGAACGGAAATTTCGAGCCCTCGGCCCCAAGAAGCCTGCAGGAGGCCCCAAGAGGCCCCCGAGAAGCCCCCAAGAGGCTCCAAGAGGCTCCAAGAGGCCCACCAGAGGCCCCAAAACGGCCCCCCAAAAGCTTCAAAAGTGCTGCCAGGAGGCCCCCGAGAGACCTACCAGGAGCCCCCCAAGGGGTCGGCGGTGCGGCGTAAGCTCAAGAATCACGCAACACCCACCCCCACCCATACCATCCGCCATCCGATTTCGTCTCCGTTGTAATCGTCGCCCGTTGGTCGTCGCCCCCCCAGGTCTGCAAGAAAGACGCCCACGCCAAGGGGCAGGGGATGCCCTTGACCAGTCCGAATCGACACCCCCGCCGCTCAGAATTGTCAGCCCTCTTGCCTTCCTCGCGTCCAAGTCGGCCTGGGGGGCCAACCCGAAATGTTCACCGTCCGTGGGCCGAGCTCCTTGGCTCGCTTTATGGGGGCCACGGGGCCGGCGAAACAATGTTGCAATTGCCCCCCCGAAGTATGTTTTCATCGCCCACCACCAGTATGACAAGCTCTCTAGCCAAGCTCTCTGGGGATTGCCGGACTTTCGCAGCAGAAGCCCGAGGCCCGTCTCCGGAGACGGCGCTCCTCGACAGGCAGGGTGAGCCCATGCATCCGACGACACGCTGTCGTTCGTGTCGCTGGCCCCTGGATCTCTCGACCCCCCATCCCTGGAACCAGTGTTTCGCCGCCGATGATTTTGTTGTCCCGAGGCCAAGAAACCTTCCCTGGAACTAATGTTTCGTCACTCAAAGATTTTGACCGTCCTGGAGCCAAGCAAACTTCATTGGAAAGTGGGAAGGTCGGGGCGAGCCCCTTCTCTTCACCACTCGTCTCCTCCGAGCCCCGCGGAGCTCTGCCGCGGGCGCCGCCCACCAAGATCGAGCGTCCTGGCGCCCCGTTTGGCCTCGAAGACGCAGCAGCGCCTACGGCTGCCGCCGCGGGTGCGGCTTCTGGCATTCGACGAGGGAAGGGGCGCCTGTCCGGGCAGCTACAGCCGATGCCGATTTGACAGTGAGATCAAGCCTCCTCCTCCTCCTCCTCCTCGTCCTCCTCCTCGGCCTCCTCCTCCTCCTCCTCCTCCTCCTCCTCCTCCTCCTCCTCCTCCTTCGTGTGCAACGGGTCTTCGAGCTGCAGCTGCGCTCGTGGATCTACTGCCGCATCAGATCCACGAGCGGAGCTGCCCTGCACCTCCTCCTCTGGGTAGCACGCAGAAGGGGCTGGGGCTTCCCAGTCGGGCCCAGAGGCCTCCGAGGAGGGCGCCTCAGAAGCCCCTGGGCCTTCCATACGCTGCCCACCGCCTTCTGAGAGGACTGCCCCCTCTCCGCGCCACCCTCTCCTGTGCGCCGCCAGCCCTCCTCGTCCCTCAAACCCTCCTCCCCTCCCCCTCCCCGCCTGACCTTTCTCGTCCCGCTCGTCCCTTTCCCCTTGCCTCCTCCTCCTCCACCTCCTCCTCCTCTCCTCCTCATCCTCGATCCTCCTCCTCCTCCTCCAGTGGGCCAGCAATTTGGGCCGTTCCGACACCCGTGCCTGCAGCCGAAACGGGGCGCAGCGAGCAGCCCCTATAAGGGGCGCGCGCCGCGCGGCCCGCGCCCGAGCCAAAACGGCTCTGCGGGGCCAGCGGCGGCCGACCGCTGACAGAGCGC